TCACCACTTCCAAACTCATTCTATGAAGCCAGTATCACCCTGATTACAAAGCAAGCAAAGAAAGAAAACTTCAGACAAATATCTCTAATGAACATAGATGTAAAAATTCTCAATAAGATTCTGGCAAATTGAATACAAAAACATATCAAAAAGATAGTGCACCATGATCAAGTTGGGATCATCCCAGTGATGCAAGTTTGGTTCAGCATACAGAAATCAATAAATGGAATTCATCACATCAATAGACTTAAAGATAAGAATCCTATGATCATCTCAAAATGCAGAAAAAGCATTTGACAAAATATAGCACTCCTTCATATTCAGAACACTAGAAAAACTAGGGATAATAGGAACATACCTCAACATTGTAAAAGCTATCTATGCTAAGCCCCAGGCCAACATCATTCTAAATGGAGAAAAATTGAAAGCATTCCCTCTAAAAACTGGAACAAGACAGGGATGCCCTCTTTCACTACTTCTATCTAACCGTTCTTGAAACACTGACTAGAGCAGTTAGACGAAAGAAATTGAAGGGATGCAGATAGGAAAAAAAGAATTCAAATTAGCACTATGTGCTGATGATATGATTGTATACATAGAATATCCAAATTGTTCCACCAGAAAGATTTTAAAACTAGTAAATGAATTCCATAAAGTAGCAGGATATAAAATCAACACCTATAAATCAAAGGCATTTCTATTTATCAGTGACAAATCCACTGAAAGGGAAACAAGGAAAACTACCCCATTTACAATAGCCTCTAAAAAAAAGAAAATACTTTGGAATCAAATTAATGAAAGAGGTGAAAGATCTATACAATGAAAAGTACTACAGAATGCTAAAGAAAGAAATCAAAGAAGACCTTAGAGGATGGGAAGATCTACCTCGTTCTTAGATAGGCAGAATTAATATTGTCCAAATGACCATACTACCAAAAGCACTATGCAGATTTAATGCAATTACAATCAAAATCCTAATGGCATTTCTCATAGAAATAGAAAAAGCAGTCAATGAAATTCATCTGGAAAAATAAGAGACCGAGAATAGTTAGAGCAATCCTTAGCAAGAAGAGTGAAGCAGATGGCATCACTATACCAGACCTTAAACCATACTACAGAGTAACAGTAACAAAAACAGCATAGTATTGGCACCAAAAATAGACTTGTAGACCAATGGTACAGAATAGAGGACACAGAGGCTAACCCACATAATTACAGTTATCTTATATTAGACAAAGGCACCAAAAATGTACATTGGAGAAAAGATAGACTCTTCAACAAATGGTGCTGGGAAAACTGGAAATTCATATGAAATAAAACCCCTATCTCTCACCATGCACAAAACTCAACTCAAAGTGGATCAAGGACCTCGGAATTAAAGCCAGACACACTGTGCCTATTAGAAGAAAGAGTAGGCCCAAGTCTCCATCATGTCAGATTAGGCCCCAACTTCCTTAATAAGACTCCTATAGTGCAAGAAATAAAATCAAGAATCAATAAATGGGATGGACTCAAACTTCAAAGCAAAAGAAACAATCAGTGAGGTGAAAAGAGAGCCTAAACTTTTACCACTCACACATCAGATAGACCACTAAATCTGTAGGGTATATAAAGAACTCAAAAAGCTAAACACCAAAAACCAAATAACCCAATCAATAAATGGGCCAAGTAACTGAACAGGCACTTCTCAGAAGATGATATGCAATCAATCAACAAGTATATTAAAAAATGTTCAACATTTCTGACAATTAGAGAAATGCAAATCAAAAGTACTCTTAAGATTTCATCCCACTCCAGTCAGAATGGCATCTATTAAGAATACAAACATCACATTCCACCATCATTTCTAACTGATTCCTCCCATGCTTCCTCTCCCTACCCCACTATGAATCAGCCTCCTTGTATCAGAGAAAACATTCAGCATTTGGTTTTTTTAAGATTGGATAAATTCACTTAGCATTATCTTTTGTAACTCCATCCATTTACCGGCAAATGCCATGATTTTATTCTCTTTTATTGCTGAGTAATATTCCATTGTGTATATATGTCACATTATTTTTACCCATTCATCTATTGAAGGGCAACTGCGTTGGCTCCACAGTTTAGCTATTGTGAATTGTGCTGTTATAAACATTGATGTGGTTGTGTCCCTGTAGTATGCTGTTTTTAAGTCCTTTGCGTATGTATAGACCAAAGAGTGGGATACTAGTTTAAATGGTGATTCCATTCCCAATTTTCCAAAAAATCTCCGTACTGCTTCCCTTATTGGCTGCTCCAATTTGCAGTCCCACCAGCAATGTATGAGTGTACCTTTTCCCCCGACATCCTGGTCAACACTTATTGTTGTTTGTCTTCATAATAGCTGCCATTCTGACTGGAGTGAGATGAAATCTTAGAGTAGTTTTGATTTGCATTTCCCTAATTGCTAGTGATGATGAACATTTCTTTATATATTTGTTGATTGATTGTATATCATGTTTTGAGAAGTGTCTGTCCAGGTCCTTGGCCCATTTATTGATTGGGTTATAAATGTGATGGACATTATCATCCAAAGTACATGTATGAAGACACAAACTGGTGTTTGTATACTTTGTATACAACCAGTGATATGAAAAATTGTGCTCTGTATGTGTAATAAGAATTGTAATTCATTTTGCTGTCACATATAAAAAAAGAATATAAACAACAGTAAATCTTGGTGCAGATGTTTGGAAAAAGACACACTCATACATTGCTGGTGGGACTGCAAAATGTTGCAGCCAATATGGACACAGTTTGGAGAATCCTTAGAAAACTGGAAATGGAACCACCCTTTGACCCAGCTATCCTACTCCTGGGTCTATATCCAAAGGACTTAAAAACAGCATACTGCAGGGACACAGCCATATCAATGTTTATAGCAGCACAATTCACAACAGCTAAACTGTGGACCCAACCTAGATTCCATGCCCTTCAGTAGATGAATGGATTAAAAAATGTGGCATATATATACAATGGAATATACTCAGCAATAAAAGGAATAAAATCATGGCCTTTGCAGGTAAATGGATGGAGTTGGAGAATATAATGCTACGTGAAGTTAGCTAGTCCCAAAAAACCAAATGCTGAATGTTTTCTCTGATATAAGGAGTCTGATTCCTATTGGGGTGGGAGGGCAAGCATGGGAGTATTAGACAAACTCTAGATAGGGCAAATGTGTGGGGATAGAAAAGATGGTGAAATGAGATGGGCATCATTACCCTAAGTATATGTATAAAGACATGAATGATGTGAATAAAATTTGTGTACAACCATAAATATGAAAATTTGTGCTGTATATGTATAATATGAATTGTATTGCATTCTGCTGTCATATATAACAAATTAGAATTTTTAAAAAGAGACAAAAATAAATAAATAAACAAACAAATAAATAAATAAATAAAAATAAAAGGCTGAGGATGTATGTAGCTCTGTGTTAGAGTGCCCTAGGTTCAATCCCAGTACTGCTAAATAAATGAACACATCTTCTTAAAATTTCTTTAAATAAAGCATTATTATGCCTAAAGGTATTGTTGAAATGTAAATACAGAATGTAATATTCAAATATAAGTATTAATCATTTGGTATCACAGGATTCTGTCATCATTTTCTTATACCTACTCCTCCATATCTGTGCCCCAGATTTCTGCAAATATATGTAGAAAACTTGTTTTTTTTTTAGTTCTACCGGACAATAGAATCCATTTGATATATTTATCAACAATGGAATATATCTTATTCTAATTAGGATTCCAGTCTTGTGGATGTATACAATGGTGAGATTCACTGTAGTGTGTGTACATAGGAAAGTTATGTCGGATTCATTCTATTGTCCTTCCTGTTCCTAAACATCCTCCCTTCTCTTCATTCCCCTTTGTGTATACTACTGAACTATTCTTCTCTTCTTCTTGCCTTATTATGTGTTACCATCCACATATCAGAGAAAAGTATCAACCTTTGGTTTTTTGGGAATTGGCTTTCACTTAATATTATAGTTTCCAGATCTGTCCATATAACAGCAAATGGCATAAACTAATTCTTCTTTATGGCTGAATAATATCTCACTCTGTGTGTGTGTGTGTGTATACCACAATTTCTCTATCCATTCATCTGTTGATGGGCATCTAGGTTGGTTGCATAGCTTAGCTATTGTTAATTGTGCTGTTGTAAACATTAATGTGGCTGTGTCACTGTAGCCTGCTAATTTTGACTTCTTTGGATATATCCTGAGGAAGGGGATAACTGGGTCAAATGGTGGTTACATTCCTAGTTTTTGAGGAATCTCCATACTATTTCAAAAACTTTCATTAACTTTAAAAAGCCTGTGATGATTTTTCAATAGAATTTTTTAAATTTTATGATCACTGTTGTGACATTTACTTCTTGTTAAGATGACATAAAGCCAACTTCTTTCAGTAAAATACACAAGAGATTGTACGTGTTTAGCCTTGCATATATGGTTGGTATGATTGTGTATTTTCTGGTTATTATAAGTACACTTTTAAAATAGTAAATTTGTAATAAAAATATTCTCTTCTTAAAAGCCAAATAACATAATGGATTTCCAGAAAGTTAAGAAGATATTACCTAGGGCTAAAAAATATACAAAAACTTAAATATTTATTATAACAATATGGAACAAAATAATTTCATTATTCTAAAGCTGTAATCATAGTTTTTTAATGTAAAGCATTTTATTTTATTTTTTATTGATTTTATAAAAATAAATGACAGTGGAATGCATTACAATTCTTATTACACATAAACAACACAATTTTTCATATCCCTGTTTGTATATAAAGTATGTTGACACCAATTCGTGTCTTCATACATGTACTTTGGATAATGATGTCTATCACATTCTACCATCCTTGCTAACCCCCTACCCCTTCCCTTTTCCTCCCAACCCTCTGCCCTATCTAGAGTTCATCTATTTCTCTCAAGGCATTTTAAATTATAATGTTTAATCTTTTATGCAGATCATTTCTTTTTCTGAAGCCAGAAGATGAGGACTATCAAAAGTGTGAACCAATTGACTTTGAAGAAATTATAGCAAATGATGGAGCTCTTCTTAAGAAGAAATGTAGATCTACAAACCCTTCTAAGAAATTATTTATTATTAATATCGTCCCTGAAAAAGATAGTTTGACATCTCTGTCAGTATATTCACAAGATGGTTGGGACTTACCTTATATAATGCATTTGTGGCCACCCATCCTACTTCGAAATCTTCTTCCTTATAAAATTGCTTATTATATTGAGGTATTTTTGATTTGGGATATCATTATTTTATGTGTGTTTGTGTGTGTGTGTGTGTGTATGTGTGTGTGTCTCTGTCTTCCTGTCTGACTTTGCAGCTTGAGTTACTTAAAATTATGAAAAATAAAAATTGTTTTGAAGTTCTAGTAAATGTTATATAGTAGTAATAAAGAATATCTAACAGATATTCTTCAAGTAGAAATGTTTTAATCATGTATAAAATGATGAATTAAAGTACTTTTCACTAATTTACCTTAGAAGTCTGTTAAGCCTAATACAAATTATTTGCACAACTGTGGTAAGCCATTTATAAAATAACTTAACAAAAGTAATATGCAGTTCTCTTAAAAATTTAGAATATGGAGATAATAAAATTGCATATAATCATTTGATGAGATCACTTGTTTTAGACAATATATTGCATGTATATTTCATATATCATTTGTTTAAAAGATGAATACTAATTTTTGAAATGAGTATGAGAATTAATATTGAAATAACATTTAAGTACTATACATAAGCAGAAACGCTGGCTACTTTGTATTATATTTAATGCTAATTCCCTAAAAGAGTTGTTTGCCCTCTGAAGGTGCTTTTTCCCTTAAATACTCGAATTTATTTTAGCAGATTAAGTATGGTTTTCTCATAAGGTTATAAAAGTAATATCTCCATCATAGATTTCATATAAATAATCAATTTTTCAAACTTATCACATGAAAGAAAGTACTTTTTCATTATATTTATCCTAGATTCATTTTGCTTTTTGAGTTATTATATTCCTATATTTTCTAATACATTCTTTGCTGAAGGGAGTTGACATATCTGTGGTTAAAGAATATCTGTTTACCACATGAGTGACAGATAGTTAGTTGCACTTTTCTGTCAGATTTGAGATTGTATTTTAACTCTGCCATTTGCTAGTTGTATGTTCTTAGGCTATATTTTATAATATTTTGTTCCTAGTATATAAAATGTGAATAATACTTGCATGGTTAGGATATGGGGAAATTATTTGTTGGTGTACATAAAGAATTTAGCATATGACTAAGAGGCACTCCAGCACCACCACCATCAACCACCATCATTTTTGTGTGTGCGAAATATTATTTAGCATATAAGGAAACAGTAGCTGATATTTTGCTTTAATTAATTAAAAATTTTAAGATGAAGAGATTCCTTCATCTTATGTTATGAACAATATTAATTGTAATAAGAAACCAGGAAAGAAATATTGAGAATACTGGTAAGATACATAGATGTACTATTTACATTTATATTCTTATAAAATTTTTGATTTGATGCTCTTGGAATCATATTCTGTCTGCCAGTTTCCAAAGGATGTGATCAATTTTTATAAAGACAATTTATATAAGTATGGGAAAAGGGAATAGAAGAGGAAAGTGTGGTTAGGAGACTCAAACTTAGAGGTCATAGAGATAGGAATTCAGGTAATGGAAGCATGGTTGGAGAGCAATGAACAGTTTTGAGGGATACATAAGATGTAATATAGTTGTTGGATATGTGTGAATGGATTGGTAAAAATCAAGATTGGAACCTGGCACTGTGGCACAGGCCTATAATCCCAGCTGCATGAGAAGCTGAGGCAAGAAGATTATACGTTCAAGGCCAGCCTGGGCAATTTAAGGAGACCCTGTTTCAATTTTTTAAAAAATTAAAAATGCTAGATCATAGAGCACCCCTGGGGTCACTCCCCACAGCTGTCAGAACCACAACAACACATCAGAAATGGAAGGCAGTAAAGATTATGGAGTTCATAACCAACTTGAATCTAATGTATGAAATATGATATGTCAAGAGCTTTATAATGTTTTGAACAACCAATAAAAAAAATTAACAAAAAAAAAGATTATTATTTTGGATTAGCATTAGCTTTTTATGTTTTTTGTTAATTTGTAGTTTTCAAACTATAATCACTTGTAGATGTTTTTGTTTTACTAATTATATTTATAATATTTCACATATAATTTCCAATGAAGTTTCGTACTGCTTATTCTTCACAAGAGTCTTTGAAGTAGTTTTTAAACCATTTTACAAATCAATTACTCAAGTCTAGATTCCATATTTTACAGAGGTTTTCATCATTGGCAAAGTTAGAACTTCAGTGTAGGTCTTCTAACTGGTTCTGATTGTTATTTCAAGAGTTTTTTGTATAGCATTAAAATAATAAAATAGAACTTTTGGATGATTATTCAGACATTTCAAAATTTATTGTATTTTTTCATTACAGGGGATTGAAAATACAGTTTTTACTCTCAATGAAGGATATTCAGCCCAGGTTTATACTGAACAAGTGGATAAAACCAAACTACATTTAAAATTGCTTGATTATCTTAATCATGATTGGAAAAGTGAATTTTATATAAAATCTAATCAACAAGACATTAGTTTCATCAGTTTTACCTGTGTTACAGAAATGGAAAAGACAGATTTAGATATTGCTATCCACATGACTTACAACACTGGTCAGGCAATCGTGGCATTTCATAGTCCATACTGGATGGTCAATAAAACTGGCCGAATGTTACAATACAAAGCAGATGGAATTCATCGAAAGCATCCACCTAATTACAAAAAGCCAGTTCTCTTTTCTTTTCAGCCAAATCACTTTTTTTATACCAATAAGGTATGTAACTTTTTTCTTACTCTTGCTCTTCTCTCTTTTATGATTCCTATTTGGAGCACTAAAGTACTTTGAAACTTAGGTAGAAATAACATTTGTACATGAGGTTAAGTAGATTTAACATTTAATGTTGAGAAAGGTTTTGTGTATTAATGTAATATTTAGTTTATGCAAAAAAAGTTTTAAATTGTCAATTTAAGTAAAAATTTTTAAAGGTACTTGTAATATCTTTAAAATATTTTTTCTTAGGTTCAGCTTATGGTAACTGATAGTGGGTTGTCAGATCAGTTTTCAATTGATACTGTTGGTAGTCATGGAGCCGTTAAATGCAAAGGCCCAAAAATGGAATATCAAGTAAGTTCATTCTGCGTTCAAGCAACTTTTATTTAAAATATCTGTTGGTTACTTAAGAAAAGTTTATAAGGATATTATAATAATATAACAGTCTTTAACTGTTAATTTTTTTCCCTTAGGTTGGTGTCACTATAAACCTTAGCAGTTTTAACATTACCAGAATTGTGACATTTACTCCTTTTTATATGATTAAAAACAAGAGCAAATATCATATATCAGTGGCTGAAGAGGGAAGTGATAAATGGCTCTCTCTTCAATTCGAGCAGGTGGGTAGATGAATTTCAAAAATGTACCTCTTTGAATTCTCTTTTTTTGAAGTTAGATGCCTGAAATTTTAACCCTCCCC